GGGGGGGGGGGGGGGGGGGGGGGGGGGGGGGGGGGGGGGGGGGGGGGGGTGAGTATTCCCGCCGCAACTAATATGGAAGGGGAGAGTTTGACGTCTCGAGAGCTCATTACGACACTCCAGTTCCCACCGCTTCAGCCATTTCGTTTGCCACCACTCGATCGATTGGGTCGACGGCTGAAATGCGATATGTGAGGACACTCACTGTAAGGACAGTCTGAGGGCGCACTTGTAACTGGACAGGGCCGTGGTGGAGCTACATTTGAGGTGGAGCTAGGGAAAGGTGTTCTTGTGCAATTTTCCATTACGTCGTGGTTGGTCAGATTTGAGGAAACGTGTGCATGACCGGCACTTGGGCCTTGACTGCTTCGATGGCGAAGAGGGTGGTATACCGGGGCTCCACCTGACAACTCGCCCACCCTCTGTCTTGCGAGAACGAGAACGAGAAAAGGCCAAAGCAGAACAATCACTCTGAATACCAGTGCTGCGCGATGCGAGGAGCCAGGATCTCTTCCCTAGAGCCATTCCTGCCACTGACACCCACCCCGTAATCTATCTCGTTGGTCGTGAATTTCTCGTGCATCAGGAGGGGGCGCCTGGCGCCATGTGGGGCACGGGAACCCTCTTTGCCAACCCTCTTAATTTTTTCTCCCCAACACTCCTGACAACATCGTTTTGAAAGCAAACGTTCCTTGCTGGACTTTTGCCTGCTCTTCTTTGTTGCTCATGGCGCCCCTTTGTCACTTGCACTTGTCAGCCCTGCTCCAGCCTCTCCAGGACACATTTCGAACATGAGGGAAGTCAAGAAGAGGCCGAGACCAAAAGCGGGGCGGGGGGAGAGACATAGAGACGCGAAGGGAATGACAACTGCAACAGAGGAGAAATGACACAGACGAAAAGTATTGGCGGGGTCAGAGTGTAGGCGAGAGCAGCGGAAACAAACTGCGATAACAAGAAATGAGCAAAAATCCAGAAAAGGGGAACAAAAAAACGAAAAGGGGCAAAAACACTTGCCGTCCCCGTCCACCTCTCTGCACTCACTCAGTACAGGCCGGACTTCGTGGGTGACGATGACTCTATACCCGCTCAACTAAGGACCGTCAGACGGTCGGACCTCCAACCTGCAGCCCTCACCGACCTCAAGGGCGCACGCCCTATCCATCGAACTAACTGTCCAAGTCTCGCAAGATGCTGTGAATTGCCCCTCATTATGTCCATCGAGGGCGTGTCGCGCGGACTGACACGCGTCGCGCGCGAAGACGCGATCTTTGATCTTTGCACCCCCGAATCTTTTCCCTCCAGTTCCTGCCTGCATCCTCTCAACCTCCTCCCATCCTTGCCCCCACCGGCGACCGCACCCTGTTACATTTTTCAGCATCCTTCCCATATTCTGCTCCATCCGTGGCAGGACTTTTCCACACTTCCTCGGCTAGCTCGCCGCAGAGGAATTTCTCAGCGTCCCTGGTGGGTTCCTCCTTTTTTTTCACGCGAACAGGGAACATCCACTTGGAGAATCCAAAAGACTCTTTGACGAAATACAAACAGCCCTCTGGCACCGTGTCGCCATGCCGCTCACTCTCTTATCCGGCGGCTTGTGAAGTTCTCGTTGCTCTCGGTCTACCAAAAACGTGTCAATGGCTGTTGACGAGAAACTTAAGACGAGAGTGTGATCGAACTCCCGAGAACGTGAGGAATCAAGATGACCGAACCGAGGAGTATTACTGGCCTCGGACGGAGGACGGAGTTGCCCATCCCCCCCTCTGCAGTAAGTTTGGTGAAACATAAGAAAACAAAGGGCCTTGCTCAAAGTATTCGTTCTCCTCCCCAGATCGCCGCAGAGATTTATACCTAACGGGGGTCGATTACCTGCACGCTCATCTTCAGCCGATTCATAAGGGATTTCTGGATTTTGCTGTGCCTGGTCGACTGCTCGATTTGTCAAAAAAAAAAGAAAACTACTACAGCTACCTGCATTAGATCGAGAAGTATTCGCATTGCCCGATTTTCCGTCGACGACATCCGAGAAGACGGTGGTGAACAGCAGTTTCTACTGTTCTTCTAGTATCCTTCGGTATTGATCGAAGACCAGGCAGGCGACGCAAACCGCATTTTTTTTTGGAGAGTCATACTGGAATCCGGTGTAGCAGGCACAGAATCCTTGCGACAAAATTGACGCTTGACCCACGAGTTGAGAGGGTGCGGGACCGAGGCAGAAGGGCAGGGGTTGAACAAGAATGGGGAACTTGTAGATTTGAGGCACTGATTTATTCTGAGGGGGAAAACGCACCCCTTTTATAGATGAGGAAAACAAAGGAAAAAAACACAAACAGCGATCACGCCGCCGCTGCCCCAGAATCCCCCGTAGAATAGAGACATTCTTCTATTTAATATCACGCACAGCAGCATCTCAGTTAGTATAGTGGTTAGTATCTCCGCCTGTCAGTCTACTGCACGCGGAAGACCCGGGTTCGATTCCCGGACTGAGAGAAATGTGCTGAAGGGAGATCAAATGGAATACAGATGTAATGCAACATTTGTTTCTCATGTGAATTGTACGCCTATGCTACCGGGAGCAACACTCGCAATAATCTTTGTTTTTTCAGGGAAGTTTTCACACCGATCCCGGAGGCTGCGCGGGTCTGGAGGGAGGGAGAGTAACCGATTTGCAAGATTCGTGGACATCGGTGAAGACGGGGGACTGGGCATCCCTGGAACAAGGCATCCCTTTCGGGAGTGAGAGGAGAATTGGAGAGCTGGAGATGATGTCCTCAGCGCAGCGAAGTCGCGAGCTCTCTGCCAGCGGGGACAGACGGTTATGATACTGGCGCCTGCGGGGAGACGTGTAGATACTCAAAGTATTATACACGTCTGGGGAATGGAGACGTGTATGATATTAATCAGACGTGATGATACTTGGGACACATGTCCGCAGACGAAATTGGGACCCGCGCTGGACAGGCTCCATGCACACTGGCGAAAGTTTCATTTTCGTTCGTGCAGATGGCTCCCGCTTCGCCCTTCCCTCGCGGCGACGCGGTCCTTCAGCTGAAGTTCTCGATTCGCAGACTGCAGAAAGAACAGAAAACCGGCCCGAGGAACTAAAGGCTGACAGGAGAGAACAGTATCCGAAACTTCGATTGGCTCCTCCGCGTGTCGGCCTCTTGGTGGGGCTGTTTTCGACCCAGATGGGTATGCTCCTGCATCGAAGCGGGGTTGCTTTGTTGGTGAATCGCGATTGGGAATTGCGGCAGGGTTTCGATGGTGGCCCTCTTTTACTTGTCCGGTGAAATAATCGCCACTCTTTGCAATCATGATCAATACTTACCAAAATCGACACTTCTTACTTGACGTCCTAGACCTTGATAAGATGAATCTTGGTGGAGAATGGAGAAAAGGGGGGCGAAGGACCACGGAACACGGGGGCATGGGGAAAGGGCATGGGGGGAGCGGAGTTTGTTGGAGGAAGCAAGCGGCGAGAGAATCCGAAGATGAAGGTGGAAGTGTTGTCAAACGCGGAACGCCTGTCACGCCATCTTAAGCTGCAACAGGCGACTTATTACAGGACAACGAGGAATTATCCGCAATGGACGGAAATGAGATTGGCGATGCTGACGGGTCACGGAATGGTTTGGCACTGTACTTTCGGGCTCATTTCCGACCAGAGTCACCAAACTCACCGCTGTTGCGAAGGTCGTTCCCTCGACTTTTAAAACGAACGGCCAATTGTCCTGGCACTGCACGTTTCTAAGATCTGATCTCTGCTGGTGTCGTCCTTTCCTCCTGTGATACTCCCCCCGGATTTATTTAGCCCTCGGTTTCGTTGAACCTGGATCGTTTCAAGGATTTTTTTCCTGCTGCGTCTCAGTTGAGTCAGTTCTGCCTTGAGGAGCGCCGCCCCCCAAAATCCGCACTTTCGCCCCAATAACATCATCAGCACCAATACCATTCAACCTTCCTTATTATCTACACGTTCCCTCTTGCCTATTTTTATTCTAATGATCACCAGGATTCACATTATCGATGACATGCCGAGGATCAGCCGATGTTCAGGCAGGGGCGCCCCATCTCAGTGATGCGGAGCGTTCGCACTGGGCTGGACAGGGCCGGGTTTCGGATCAACCGGGAGGACGGGGGTGTCATTGACTGTTTGGATGGCGTCGCTCGTGTGTATGCATCTGAGATGAAGGCGAGGCGAGGGTGGAAGGGAGGCGGGCGGGTGCGTCCCAGATATTGTCGGCATCTTCCTTCCCTAGGCCTTCACCTGACTAGTACTCCAGTCCAGGCGCCCATTTTCCGAACACAGTATCGTCGCTCTAGTGCCCCTCATCAACCCAATCGGCAAGATATCCCTGATCGTTCCCTCCGAGGGCCCGCTCCCCTTCCAAGACGCGTTTTACAAGGCTGTCTCTCTCCACTGGACCTTCATGTTCACCAAGCCCATGACCGACACCCGCCCCGAGACGCAGGGACAGATCCTCAAAGAGATCGCGGCGCTGGCGGACGGTGGTGTTCTCTCGCAAGATATCGTGACCGAGAGGCACGTCTTTGGCGAGGCCGCTCTCAAGACCGTGCATGCAAAAGTGGAGAGCGGAAAGGGGATTGGGAAGATTGTTTTGGTGAGGGCTTGATCGGGCCCGGGGCAGGTTTATGTTGCAAGACCCCCAATTGTTGTCAAATGAAGAACTATTCACTCCTTGCCCATCCGAACCTTGCAATTCCCCACCCGCGGGTTACGTTGACGCCTACTCCAACGCGGCCCACGATTATAGTTTGCAGCTCATGGCGCTGACAGTAACAGAATCGCGACTGCGACCGATGTCGGGGGTGTTAAAATTTGAGTTGGGAGCAAGATGGAGTGAGGGGAGCGATTGTTCAGGGTACGGGGCCTTTCTGGTTCTGTCTAACTTCTCAATGCCCACACTGAAGAGAACACAAGATCTTGCACCCCCATCCTCGGCTACCGTGTCTACCGCCACATGTTGCCTACCTGGTATCCTCTGTCCGGTTTGCATGTGCCTCATGCCGCTCTTGCCGGGACGCAGGCAGGCACTGCAAGCAACGCCTCTGGAGGCGTCGAAAGAAAACTAGAGGAAGGATGCGCCAGCGAAATTCCTCGTCGGCAACGCGCAAGGCGGGCGCTTGACCTTCCCCCACCCTCTCGGTCCTTTCTCTTCTCCTCTCTCTCGCGCGCGCCCGTCAATCATCGCCATCGAGTGAATGAGAGCTCCTTCCATCAGTGCAGGATTCCCTCGACGCCGAACCCACCACACAACTAAACCTCTTCATTTTTGCGCAGCCCCTCCATTCTTGTCGTCTTCCGAGAAGTCCACCGCCTCCCCTTGTCCCCGAGCCCCTCCTTCACCACAACAATACTTGCCCCAAGCCTCTCACCTTTTTTCATATCGAACGAAGGCAAAGGGGCACCGTAGACACACGAAGGTCAACCTCGCACTGTATCGATTTTGATGGGATGGGGGGGAGGTGGTGGACTTCTCGGAAGACGACAAGAATGGAGGGGCTGCGC